GAAGGTCGTTAGATTCAATTTTTTCTATTGTAGTAGATATTGCCTTGCACAATGAATAAGTCAGTAAATTAAAAAATTCTACTTTGAGATTATGATGTATGATTTCAGGTTATATTATTCTTATAGTAATTCAAAATATCGAATATTAGGTTTGTATCAAATTACATTATAAAATTGATAACACGTATAGGATGTAATCAAAGAATAAATTTTATTTTTTATCTCCTGAAAAATGAGTTTACTTCCTTATTCGTTGCGCATATCAATATGTGTGTGTAATAATTTTTAATTATTTTTCAAATTCACATAAACTAAGGAGTAAGCAGAAAACACGTTCTTTAGATACATAAAACTTAAATATTAACACCAAATAATATAGGTAGCTAAAAATAATTGAGGCACAATTTGGGTATCATATTAAAAAAAAAATTTTCTTAAAATATAAATGATTTTATAAATTTTACTGTCATTGTAACTACTAACATTTTGGTTGTATATTTTTTAATAACGTATATATAATGTGCATACATAGTATAATTTAATTAAAACTTACTCTAATGACGTTTTTTAATATTGCTACATGGAAGTATTGTATTTATTAAAAGTCATGTTTAATTGACGTAATATTGAACTTATTATATAATTAATGAGTAAATTAATTGATTATTAGTTATTATTAAAATATAAAAAAATACTAGAAAATCAATTTTTTTATGTCTACATTGACGAATACTTGATATAAGTAATAAGTTAGTAAAATTGTATAAAAATTTTAAAATAACATGAATTATAAAGCTTTTTTTGAATAAATTTGAGACGATACATTGACCTAATATTTAGAAATATTAATATTTCCTGTCTCACATTTCTTTATCGTTATAATGAATGTTTCGAATTAATAATAAAGTATAATGTTTATAAAAAACATATAGTTTTAGAGTTTATTGTTAATGACTATAATAACAAGTTATATATGTTATGAAAACTAGTTTCTGTAGAAATTTTATATTTAAAAAAAATTCATTGTAACTGGATAATACTTATGTACGTTTAATATCTGTTTATGATATGCTAGAAATATTAAATTCGATTATTTCTAAATATTCTTTCCTATACATTTCAAAATTAAAATATATTGATAAACTTCTTGAAATTATATAAAATTTAATATTTAGATATTTTTCTGAAAAAATATATGTTTTCATTTCAATAAATAATCGACGCTCTATAAATATCTTAAAATATAACAACAAATACATACCGTTTGAAAAATATTTTATTTATGTTTAGTTGTATTATGTTTAATATTAGATCAATTCATAAACTTTTTACTTATATTCATAAGTTTCTCTGTGCTGTCTACCGGTGCGATGATCGTTAGAACAAAGACGTTAAACCAAAATGGCTAGCTTCCCAATAAGTATAGAGTTGCAACACACTTAGTCCAATAAAAATATTATTAAATTAGTTTAAATCTGAAATAACTGTAACCTTTAGCATATAATTATTATTTACCATTAACTGAGAAAATTAGAGTTGATTCGGGTTTATAATATATAAAAATAATTAAAAAAAAATGTTTGAGGTTTAATATATTAATTGACATTTATTTCCACGATAAAATAAAACATTGTTATTTAATAAACAAATTAAATTAAATTAAAAAATTCACCAAAACAAAATTCACTTTAAAATCTCTAAGTGTCATTTAGTTTTAAAGAAAAATATTCTAAGTCCAAATTAAATATAAAAAAAAAAACTAAGTCCCAGAGAGTAAGAATCTTGAGTAGAGTGTCGCAGATTTTGTGTATTTTAAAATCGCCGAAAGAACTGATTTTAATAGGAAATAATGGGTTTTTATAGTAGACGAGGGTCGTGTAGCGATCCCTAGTGTGATCTTAGAAACTGTAGATCTTAATTAAGAGTTAAATGTCATTGGCTGGACCTAATTGAGAACCCACACATAGGCGTTACTTTGAATCTGTACGATAATCAGATTTAATTGCCTAGTTTATTGATTATTTTATGTTTTAAATAAGGGAACTCTGTTTTGGTGATCTTGTGAATTCATAATATATGACATACATGTCCAAAGATAACATATTATAATATTTTAATATTATAAATGATAATATAATATTACACATAAAAACTCTCAACCAATGATTTTTTTTAGAAAGATATGATACGTTTTTACTAATAAGTATCATTTTGTGTTAAAATTGTCAAAATCAAATTATTTTAAGAAAACGCGTGTCATTTAAGTCTCTCATAAAATTTTTATTAAATAGGCATAAAATGTTATTCAAAACATGTTGATAATTTATTTTAAAAAAATTATAATAGTAGTATAAATATTATACATTTCTCATTGAGTTGTTAACTAATTATATAAATTTAATTGCTATCTATTTGTCATTTATGAAAAGTTTAAAAAATTATTTATTAAAAATAATTATATTAAATTATCACTATTATTCATACTACAATTAATAATAATAGTAAAGATTTATACATTAAATCATTATATTTATTTATTAATTTAAAAATTGAAAAAATATAGTACTTTATCAAATTACGACGAAATTTTATTTTTTATTTTACATATAAACGTCGTTATAAAGCATATGCCATTGTATGTCTTAAGTATATTTAAAACTGGGTATTTATAATTTATATTCCCAGTCTATATACAGAGTGTTCAGTAAGTAAGGAAACAGGACAATTGTTATGAATAATTAGAACAATTGAAATCCGTTTCCTTAATTACTAAATACGAAATAATTATATATTTAATATATACTGAATGTTAAAGTTCTAATTGACAACACTTATTTCTTTCAAAAAATTATTCCAAAAAAGATTTTTTTCTATCAAAATTTCAGTTCTAAAGAGGTAAATTAAGCAATAACAAGTATAAACATAATTGCGATTTCTATGGTAACATTTCAAAACTATTTAATGACTGTTGTTAATATTTCAAGTCTAAACTAGTTAACACGTTTTTTTANAAAAAAAAATATGAAAACTAAATTGTAGATCTAATTGTTTTATATAAATTAAGTCCTTACAGTTTTTCTTTTAAATCCATTAGTTTTCTAGAAAAATGTCAAAATACATAATATTTCGTAAAATTGCCGAAATTAGCATATTTACGAATATTTTATCATATATGACGAACCATATGTGATACGACCTAATGTTTCATACAAAAATTGTTTAAAATTAAATTTTGCGAAATAAAAGTATTAAGTACAAATTTATATATGATAAAATATTCGTAAATATGCTAATTTCGGCAATTTTACGAAATATTATGTATTTTGACATTTTTCTAAAAAACTAATGGATTTAAAAGAAAAACTGTAAGGACTTAATTTATATAAAACAATTAGATCTACAATTTAGTTTTCAAATTTTTTTTTGTGAGAGTGCTAACTTACGAGTTAATTGCTAAAAACTAAAAAAGTACCCCTTTTGGCCGATTTTCAACCCCAAGTCGGCACGGGTTAAACTTATCTGATCGGCCTGAAATTTTTTGTAGCCACTTTTTATATGTATACACACAAATTTGGGGGGTGAGCCCGAAGAATTTCCAAAATTTTCAAAATAAGGGACACCCTAATATATATATATTGTTTACTTTTTAATTTACACGCTAAATTGTCATATAATATTTAAATTTATCACTTTTAAACGAATTTTCTAGAAATCAAAATAAAAAAAATTATCAAATTATACAGTAACTACATAATTTTTTTTTTGGAAAATAGTGTATTTAATTCATTTGAGTTACATAAAATTTTTTTTATATTTGCTCATTTAATTTTGTAACAATTTTGTATAGGTGTAGGATATTTCTCTTTATTTGCAAGGAAGCTAAATTTAATTTTTCTTCTCCCAAAAATAATATTATATAACACTACATATATACCTATCTTTTTTTGATAAAACTGTAAAAATTATAATTATTAAGCAAGTTATAGTTATAACTTTTTTTTAATGAAATATTCATGTATTCATTTAAAAAAAACCAGTACAGGGGGTTCGCGGCATAGTGGTGACGTGGCATAGTTGGATCAAGTATAATGATATCTGACAGTGATTAAAATCGCTATCAAAAAAACACCTTGACGCAAATCTTTAGATAGTGTTTAATTTTAAAAAATTGGTGAATAATTCCAAAAGCTACATGATCAGCTAGTTCCTTCTTAATATCCTGATTAAGATAAAGTATGTCAAATGAAAAAGGGATTGTTAAAAAATATTATTTCTTATAAAAAAATTGTGTTGATCCATACACTTTTCAATAAGTTATAACATTATAAAGTTATAAATTTTAAAAATAAAATCGAGAATTTTCACACAAAAATAGCATTTGATAGCCATTTTCACCATGAACACAAAATAAAGTCCAAAATTTTTTTTTTTTAATATTAAAATATATTACATAAGCTATAATTTAAGATATATATGAAAGTATTAGTATTTCCGGAACACTTTCAAAAGTTAAGTTAAAAAAGTTGTCATTTTGAATCTCCCCCTGTGGACTGGTAAAAGGTTAAATTTATAAATAAAATATACCAAATGATAGGTAAAGACATCAAATAGGTAAAGACATAAAAAAATTTATATTTATTTGTTAATATTTGAAAAAGTTATGGCAGTTTTAAGTACAAAAAACATCCTTATAGAAGGTGATTTTTATCGCAAATATTACATTTTTTTTTTAAATTTTGACAGCAATTTGCACATAGTACATATATTTTTTTTTTTTTTATTTATAGTACATAAAATAAACTTTAATTTTATATATGTTTAAAGAACGCAATATTTCCGGAACACTTTCAAAAGTTAAGTTGAAAAAGTTCTATTATTTATACAATGTTTCAAGTTTTGAACGCCCCCTATATATGAGGAAATTGTCCAATTTTAATAAAAAATATGTCAAATGAAAAATTTGAGATGAAAGATAACCAAAAATTGTTTGTTGTTCCTAGATCCATGCAAAAGGAAGTAATCAGAAAAGCACATGAAATAGGACATTTTGGATGTAAAAAAGTTGAAGAACTATTGAAGAAAGAATATTCCATGTCAAATATGAAAACAAAAATTGAGAGTATTGTAAGAAATTGTTTAACAGTGAATTAACAGTGATTAATATCACTATCATAAAAAAAGCTTCAATGCAAAATCTGTAGATAGTGTATCATTAAAAAAAAAAATTTGTTAAAATAGCATATTTTTGAATATGGTAGCCATTTGCGCATAGAAGATAGGTCGTCGGGACAAATTTTTTTTTTCATTTTATAGTACATAAAATAAGCTTTAATTTGATATATGTTTGAAGGACGCAGTATTTCTGAAACATTTTCAAAAATTAAGTTGAAAAAGTTCATTTTTGTAAAAAAAGTTGCTATTTTAAATCCCCTCCAATGAGCGAGTTAAGTGTTAGATTTTCAAAAAATTGATATTAAATGAAAGAGCAATATCTAAGATCTTAGCATAAAAAGTAATTATGTTGATTTGTTGATTTTTAAAAAAGTTATGGAAGTTTTAAGAAAAAAAAGTGAAAAAAATTACAAAATTTACCGATTATTTAATTTGTAATTTTTTTGGATATTTCCCCCATTTGCAGAGAATGAGGGAATTTTTTCAATTTTTAAGGGTAATTTCTTTAACTAGATACTATTTGTGATCTTTTGACGTATTGTTGAAAGAAATCGGTCCAGTGAGACCTGAGAAAAAGTTGCAACAGACATAAAAAAAAAAAAAACACATAATGGTAAAATTAATACCTTCTTAGCTTCGGATCGAAGCTAAAATAATGATTTATAAAATAATTAATAGTAATAATAGCAATTTATTTGCAAATATAAAAAGCAATTATTTTAACACGTTATACATAATAACAGCATAAATTATATATTTTTGTCATCGATAATATAAATAATATGTTAATATATTACAGTTTAAAATAATTTTTGCTTATTTTAATAACTTATTTACTTAATTACGTATAAAAATGCAAAAAATTAATATAAAATTATTACAATATATTGAATCATATTAATTGATTAGTTATTTTATGGTATTGTTTATATATTTTAAATCTTAATATTCTTGAAAAATGTTATATAAAACATATTATTTTGTTTTAATTCTTGTGATTAATTTTTTGTTTGGTGATGTTTTTGGAAGCGTTATTTTAATTAGAAATGTAATTTGAATAGTTTATGAAGTGATATTTAATTTTATAATATATTTAAGATTCTTTTTATTTCATTTCCATGTTAGATTTGTTAGTGTAAAATCTCCATCTNATCATTTCCATGTTACATTTGTTAGTGTAAAATCTCCATCTAACAATTTCTTAGTACTAAGAAATATCATATAATTTTCTTCTTCACGAGCACCTTAAATTATTATTTTTTAAAAGAATAATTTTTTATGCTTATTGTAATAAATAATGCCAAATGTTTATTGCAAATTTTCAAATATGCTTTCTTTTGTTATATAGGAACGTCAGATTTATATTATAAATGTGACAAATAAAACGAATTTTGTAAGTGTTAATCATTTTTAGTTTTATTTATTAAAATTTATGAATTAATCTCTTTTGAATTTAACATCTGTCTTGTTAACATTCATTGGTTTTATTTTAGGAACATGATGCTAGAATGAATACAATCCCTGGTTGCATAAAATCTTCAACAGTATGTATTTTTTTTTAATTGTTACAACTTATGTTGTGATATCATTTTGCCATGATATATAAAAGCATTTTGTTCATTAATTTTTTTTTAATTTAGATTTTGCAGTGTGGACCTGTAGGGATTGTAAGTAGTTTTATAATCGGTATAATTAATAGAAGATCAGGAGGTAAATAACAAAAATGTTCATCTCACCCTATTCATGTGTACACAATTTGATAATATTATAGTTATTATGTATTTTTATTTACAAAAAAAAAAAAAAACAGGGCTGAGTGATGTAAAATTTCGAGTTTTTCAAAAATCTTATAACGAAAAACTTTTAAGTTAAATGTTTTGATTTTAACATATCGACTGATTGCTTACTAATTAGCGTATGTGATATTTTCGTGAGTAGTTAATTTCAAATCCTTCCTGTACTTAAGTTTTCATTAGTTCTCAGAAAAAACACAGTCAAAAATGTTTTATTTATTTATAAAATTTGTTCAGTGAGAGTGGATAATCTTCATAAACCGACATTAAATTAAGACACAAACCATCACAATACCATTGAATTTTCACTTTCGCATCGAAGCTAAATAATAGTGATTTGGGGTAATACTTTGCATTGTATATGGAGCAATCATGCGCGCTTATTATATGTAGATTGCCATATTAAAAAAAAAACATTTTTTTAGAAAAATGAGTGAATTGTTTGTAACAATTATAAAAGTAAATATTTAAAGGAATAATTTATATTTTTTATTTCACTAGTTTTCCATAAATAATTAGGATTTCATAACAGAGTAATTCACTTAGCTTGAACTTCAGATATGATCGAAAAAAATAATTTTAATAATCTAGTTATTTATTTCTTTTAATTCAATGTTTCTCTTCATTTTTAAACTATACATTTTTTTTATGTTCATCCTTTATTCCTTATTAGGACGTCAATTTTAATTTCTCAAATGATAATACGCATAATTAACTAATTATTTAATAGATAATGATCTAACGAAGAAAATGACCGATCGATAATAACTTTAGGATCAGTATTTTATAAGTTATTAATAATTAAATTTACGACTGGAGATGAAGAGTGGGTGCTGTTATTTTTATAACTAAAGATTTCCCGTCCTTACCCTTCCTTTCACTTAGATATAAATATGTCAATGTAAATTTCGAGCTAAAAGAAGCAAATACATAAAATATTAATATTATTTATTGAAAATTAAGTTTTACAAAACAAATGAACGATCTTGCGCATAATAGTGTTTATTTTAAGTTTGACGTCACCAGAATAAACCTGATAGTAACCAAACAGAATAATTGTATTATAATTATAATTATATTTTTTATTTTATTTCAGGATTTTGTAAATAAGAAAAACGTTTTTGCAGAAATTGTTTTGGATTATGTAAGTATTTTATCAAAAATGTGCTTAATAAAAGAGTATAGAATAAGCCTACTCTATAAAAAAAAATGAAAAATATACTTTTAGTAAGTAGATTTTTATTTTGTCGGAAGAGGTTGGTACTAATTTTTCATATTTGTAGTTTTTTTATAAGAAAATACCTAGTGATCGTAAATATCTATAATAATAATAATAATACAAATTATAAATTAAATACTAAAAATATATTTTGTATTTAATTTTAGTAAAAAATTAATTAAGTACTGATTTTTTTTTTTAGAATGAACAAGTTGTTGAAAATCCAAAAATCAAGATTAATCTTAAAATTGTAAGCAACTTATAAATTAATTATTTTAATATTATTAATTATTTTATTTTAATTATTAATTAATATTTTAACATTATAAATGTTAAAACATTGATTCATTTAATTTGTTTACATCTATAAATCATTTTATAACTAAAATAGTTATTAGTTAATTTATTAACCATGAAGTATTTTTCATGTTTTTCATAACTTTAATTGTGTATCAATCAATATAAGTAATGTGTATACACATTACTTAAATCCATCGATAACATAAAGTTATATTAAATCAATAGTTTTGAAGTAACATTTACATAAATTTTAATTTTAAGAATATTCTCTACTATTTATTTGTATTTTTAATGCTCATTAATATTCTATTAAAATCAGAACAATCCATTTCGTAGATTACCCACATTTACAGAATACGTGCACATACCCACTCAATGTATTGAAATGCTTGAAACTCAATAAGTATTTGTCCTAAATTAATTATTGATCAATTAAATTTTTTTTTAAAAAAGGGTTAAAAAAATTCTATTTTAAAATTTGAAAAAATTTTAAAAAATTAATGTTTAACTTTTTTTTTTTTATTAAAAACAAATAAGTAATAGTGTAACGTAGACCAAAAATGCTAAAATTGTTTAAAAAAATTACATAAAAATGATTATTGAATCAAGAGTTATTGTATTTGTTATATCTTTGTAATTCACACATATATACATAGATCAAATGGTAATTAAAAAAATAAAATAATAAACATATCTGTTAGTGAATTTAAACACCACACCGAAGATGAATATTAAATTGTGAATTTGGAACTCTGGCTGACATTATATGTCTTATTGTCATGTAGTGATACAGAGAGTATAGTATAGTAGGGACATAAATATGTGAAAAATTATAATTGTATAAAGAAATGTGTTAGCAGCAATAAAAAAACAGTTATACATTAATTTAAGTAATCGACTCTAATTATGTATTGGTTCGATTAAATTACTTGATGTGGAATTTCATAATTTTTAAATCTTTATTAAATATTCCTAAATATTTTAATTTATAATTAAAAGATAGATTACATAGAATTTCAATAATAATAATGTTATATATTTTTACTGTACTTTACTGTAGTAACACATATTTGAAATTTAAAACCCTTTATTTATTTATATAAAATAATTTTCCTAAAATTTCTTTCAAATTATTGAAGCCCTTCCAAAACAATGATTCAATAATGCTTACGACCTTTACAGATAATATAAAATATTATTTTTTAATCACTGTTATTTGTATTTTGAAGACGTTTGAAGAACAAAACATTATTTTAAAACACAAAAGAATACAATACAACTTCACATATGACGGTAAGTATAGATCATATTGAATATATCCTGTTTTATCTTATCTCTTAAAACACATTACTGTATCATCATGACAATATATAAATGCATTGTAAATTTTCTAAATATATATGAAATTATGAAAATCACTTTATTTACAGAAGAAGGAATTGAAGAATTGCAGAATACTATTAAAAGTATAGACAGTAAAATTCAATTCAAAGTCATTAAAATCTATGTGAGTCTACCAATATGTTTAAAATATTTTCCTGTAGATGATTTTGAGTTTATGTGAATAAATTGTTTTAAAGTCAATGAAGCACCAAATAGGTTAAATATAAAATGGACATAAAAAGTTTTTTTTTCAATAAAATTCTAGTGAATAATAACACTTAAAATAACTTATATTAAACATTATAAAGTTATATCTCATAAATATTTAAAAATTATTTTTTGTTTAGTATAAAATAAAAAAAAACATTTAAGCTCACAAATACAAAAATCGGTAAATAACCCACGAAGAGTCCTGTATGAATGAAAAATATTATTTAGTTTATATTAATATATAATTCAATTATCATTTGGATAATAATTTTTTTGTTTATAAAAATATTATTCTTTAAACCTTATGCAAATTCATATGATTGTTCATAAAAAAATTTGCGAGATTATCCTTTTGAGATTTTTAAATATTGAGGTTAAAATATTAAAATCAATACAATTCTTACTTTTTCAAATAATAATACTGCAATATAGTTACATTATAACTTAAACACTTATAATTGTTTTAATACAAAGTATATTTTAATATTTAAATTTTTGACTTTATATTATAATAGCATTTCGAAAACTAGTTAAATTAAAATAAAATTCAGAAAGAAAAGGAAATGATCTAAAAAATTATAATTGTTTTAAAACAGTTTTCAGTATATTGATATTTTTAGCTTTTACTTAATATTAAACTAATTTCTTGTAAACTAAACGGATCATCCGTAATTTTGTGATCTTTTTGGATCACGATATTGACACGACTTGCGTCGCAAAAATGTGGTCGACACTGGTTTTGAGGGTAGAGACCCGTGGGCCGTTTATTAAATGAGCGACAACAGATTATGTTAACAAAAATAAAACAAACCGAAAAGATAAACACAGTAATAATAATCTTCGCATAATATCGCGGCACTTTCGCTGGCGTCGACGACGCGATGTTCGGCGTAATCCTTGGACGGCAAAATGGTTAGCAGCGTTGTAGGCGACGGTGCGCGGGTGCGGTTCGGCTGTCGACGTTGTCGCTTTCACAGCGGGAGGAAGACTCTCGCACCATTTGCGGCGGGTCGTCGTCGGCCGTGCGGCATTTGCTGGACTTTGCACCGTAGCGTATAACACGCGGTGTTGGTCAGTCAAATACTCATAGTAGGGCGACGGCTGATAAAGGTGGCACGAGTCGCGGGGCATCGTGTATAACGAAGCGACGCGGGCCGTGTCAATATTTTTCAATTATTTAGTCATTAACTGACTAAAATTTTTAGAAAAACTTATCTTCTTTAAGTAATAGGTAATTCTAAGCCAAAATTTGAAAAATTTTCGTTCAATTTTTTCTATTTTCTTTTAAGTCTTTTATTAACAATCGAATTGAAGCATTATTTGATTTAATTTTATATTCTAGTTCACTGTAAGGGATCCCAACTGTCTTGGATAGATAATTGTATAATTACATTAATACTAATACAAACATATTAATTTCTATAATCTGCACTGAAATTTTTTTGATCCAGATTTGAGTAGTCGAGTTACAGGGTAAATAGAAACAATGACGTTCTCTTCGTGTAAAAACTCGTAAAATCAAATTATTAAATTTTTTAACTAATATAAACATTTCTACCGTTAAATATTTTATGATAACACATGGACGCATATAATAGATTTTTAATGAGGTAAAATATTTAAACTTCAATTTGATTTAAACCTTAAATTTAATTTTTACAGGAGAGTAATCTTTCTAGTAATAGAACTTTAGCTCATTCTACGGTTTATGATAAATATTTAAAAATACAACTAGATATGATTGAAAAATTGTCTTTATGGAAATATGTCAAAGAGGAGAGAGTTCTCATTGCTTCTACTTCTACTTCTACTCTATCCAATACAACACTCATAGATTTTATCAATAACTCAACTACTTATGAAAAAAATGTAGCATATACTGTTAAGGATGCAGAAAATATCATGAATGATCGAACTTTTAAGTATGCATTTTTACTAGTCGTATATGTCTATAGGACTCTATTAATTTACTATGATGCAAAAATAAATTGGGAATTAGTTAAAACATGTTTTACACTATTGAGTAACGCACAAATTAAAAGGAAAGAATTCAATAACATACTTTATGACCTACGTATTGATTTTGATGTAATTGAACCTGATCGAACAATAGTATGTAAGCAAATTATCACACACTTAATGGAAAAATACTCAGGATTATTCAAAATAATTTTACAAAGTACAAGCCAATTATCAGAAGATAATTTAATTAAAAATACATTTGAGGGATTTCCTAAACCTCACGAAAACGACGTCATCTCATACAATTTTCAGACTATACCAACAGAATTATCTGTTATAACGGAAAAATTGGAGAAAATTTTAAAGTTAATAGAAACAGAATACAGTTCATTTTTGTCAAAAAATTATAAAGAGATTTTAAATGATTCTTACTCGACTGTTTCGAGAAATTAAAAAGTATTTTTTATTTTTTCTAATTACATAAAAAGATACTGTGAGTGTTTCTTTCGTCATATACAATTTATGTAATCGAAAAATAAAATAAATATGGAATAATATTAAAAATAATATTTTTTCTTTTAAATAAATATTAACCTACATAGTAATTTTATATTTGTTCTTTTTACCTACTGATGTCTTAACTAAGCACCCAACCTAAGCAACAGACATAATAAGGTATCCTCTTTATTATATAAAGATATAATTAAGCACTTCAAAAAAAATCCAGCACAAGGGGCGCGGCCCATCTTAAATTAAAGCTAATGTAATGTACTTTATTATGAAAAAGAAGTATTTCGGACTTTATTTTGTCTTCACGATGAAAATGGCTACCGAATGCAATTATTGTATGAAAATTATCGATTTTATGTTTACACATTTAACTTTATAATGCTATAACTTATTGAAAAGTGTATGGATCAACATCATTTTTTTATGAGAAATAATATTTTTTAATAATCCATTTTTCATTCGACATACTTTATCTTAATCAGGATATTAATATGGAACTATCTGATTATGTAGCCTTTGGAATAATCCACATTTTTTTAAAAATTAAACACTATCTAAAGATTTGCATCGAAGCATTTTTTTTTTTATAGTGATTTTAATCACTGTCAGATATTATTATAATTGATCCAACTATGCCACGTCACCACTGTGCCACGACCACACTGTGCTGGGTTTTTTTTTAGTTTTATCAGTGCGATTATATTTTATAATTGCCCAGTGAAACTTAAAATCCTTAAAAGTTTTTTTATTATAGTTAGAATATATTTTTATATTACCAACAATGTAGGTCAATTTCTAACTTACAAGGAGACATCACGGTGATAGGATCGCCGATTTTCAAAAAAATTATATGAATCTAATATAAGTTGAATATTAAGTTGCATTTACTTTGAATTTTTTTAAACGGGAAAAATGACTTAACAGACAAATAACCATTTGAACTACCTTAAATAGACTTTTTTATCCTCTTGCAATAGTAGCAACCTGTGGGTCAATTGGTAACGCGTAATGTACTGGGTTCAAATACCGCATAGTGGTCTCGTTTTTTGAATTTTTTTAATATATTCATAAAAAATCTTGCAAAAATCCAATAACACACTTTATGACCTACGTATTGATTTTGATATATTTGAACCTAATTAAACAGAATTATGTAAGCAAATTATCCAACACTTGATGGAAAAATACTCAAGATGATTCACAATAATTTTACAAAGGACAAGCCAATTTTCAGAAAATAATTTAATTGAAAATACATTTCAGGGATTTCCTAAACCTCACGAAAACGACGTCATCTCATACAATTTTCAGACTATACCAACAGAATTATCTGTTATAACGGAAAAATTGGAGAAAATTCTAAAGTTAATAGAAACAGAATACAGAACATTTGAATTCAATAATATAAATATGTGAAGTTGGCACATAGGAAGTATTTTTGTGGTAACGGCGATGTCATTAATATTATAATATTAATATTAATTTTAATAAAAAGAAATAATTTTTATTATCCGTTCATCTATTTTCTTTTGCTATTACTTTCATAATCTCTTTATTTGAATTTGAAGTACAATTAACTTTATTTTTAAAATATGATATTAAAAAAAATTTTTTAAATTTTTCATATATTATTATTGATTGAAGGTTACCCATCTAAACTTTAAAATTCTGGATACGTCATAAATAAGAAGGAGTCACCTCCTGCCACTTTAAAAAATTTTGTATGTGTTATAAAAATGCTTAATTAGTCATCAGGTAATTAAAAAAAAAAATAATAAATATTAAATAATTAAAAGGGAGCGATACCCTCTTTAGGCAATCCTCGTAAGTAAGCCACTGATTCCAGTAGGAGTACCTGGATATGCCTGGCACGATAAGTAATTTACAGGAGAAATATCACATCATAATCAGTGTAACTAAAATATATTAAAAATTTACTTATTAAATTCAGGAAAATTCAAAAATAGAAAATAGTAAAATATATTGGGTATAAAGTAGACGTTTGTTATTGAGGTATTCTCCTTGGGCGTATTCAGAAATTATTTTAAAATGGTATTTAATTTTTTTTACTTTGGTAAAAACCAAAGTGATGAACAAAAAAAAAAGGTCATTAGGTCCACATTTCTTAGAAGTCGCCAAAAAAAATATTGATAGCGCTGGTTCAAGAAGGGCAATTGCCCATATCCACCTTAAATACGCCTTTGGTATACACAATATATATATTAATATTCTAATTATAATAATTTTATTTATATTATAAAGTAATTACGAAACAAGACGGGAGGTAATCATTCTTGTAAAAATTCAATTTTGATGTATCCCAAGTTTTACGATTAACTAATACATTTCATATGAGATAAATAAGATTATTGAAACTGTACTATTTTGATAATGTATGTACAAACTTATACCCTCGTATCCTAATATAAACTTTTCGTTTACATAAAAAAAAAAAATAAGTACAAAGCGACAAAAGTATATTTAAACAGTAAACTAATAATTATAAACCCAAAGTTTAAACAAAAGTATTACATAATATATAAAAATAATAAACATAATATCAAAACAAAGAGATAGTTAATAATCTAATCCAATCAATTCATGTATGACAACAAAAACATGTTTTAAAAATGAATTAAATAGAAAATTAGATCGACATAAAAACTAATTTTCTACAAATTAAGGGTCACAATATACATATGCACAGAAATGAGTTAATATTATTAATAAAAAACATGCTCGTGGACTTAAAAAAAAATCGTAGAACAGTGACAATGAATAAATTTTTTTTTGATATCTCAGAAATGTCATTAAATTTCAAACGGTAAGTCGTAAAACGCTGTCGTCATCGAGCGTTTTTCTCGAAAACGGTTGAAATATTAAAACGCTCGCGGGTGATCGACAAAAATCTTCCGACCTTTGCCAATAAGTTTCTCGCAGTGTCATGACTAAGTACTTTCATTGGAAAAATAAAATGTTGAAAATCGAATCATGCTATTAATTTTCCCACAAAGCGTTTTTTTCCTTGTTCTATTACATAATAAGATTACGTAGTTAATTATTAACCTAGACAAAGAAGACCANAGTTAATTATTAACCTAGGCAAAGAAGACCAAGTTTTAAATTCATTATCATAATTGAAAACAAAATTGATAATGTACATGATCTATGTACTCAACTTAGTGGTTCGTATTTACTATAGAAATGAGAGTGATATGGCTCATAAAAAGTAGTTGACGCTCTAGTATAGAAATATGGGATCAACCAATTTATTTTTGCAACCGTTTAAACCAACAAGTTTAAGACAACTTATCTTATTATTCACTGGCATATATAATATATAAGGTAGTGAATAATATAATATATATATTATATATACAATATTAATTAATAAGTGTACACAACATTTAGCTATAATACACACAACGTTGTTATTTCAGAACAATCGCATAGCTTGATGTAATAAATAAAAAATTGAAAAAATTCCCTCGTTCCCTGTAACTGGGAGAAACTCCCAAAAAGTACGATTTTAAACACCGATAAATTTTGACATTCTTTAAACTGTTTTTCAAACAGATAACATATTTAAACAGATAATAACTTTTAGAATAATATATGAATCAAAACAATTTTCTTTAATAAAAACCTTAGGCATTTTATTTTTATTTGATTTAAAATTTTTGAAAATGTGACCCTTTACATGTCATTTTGTGTTAAAGACATCATCATTAAATTTTCTTAATGTACCCACATCTTTTAAGTCTCCCTAGAAATTTCTTGGTAAGGCTATACACTATTCAAACAATATTATAGTTTTATTAAAAAAAAATAATAATAATTATAGTAGAAATATAACAAATTTTCCGGCTAAATTATAAACCAATTATTGTAACACAACCCAATCTATTAGGCATATTATAAAATTTACATTTACAGAAAATAATGTTAGAATTTTTATTGTGTTTTATTAAATTTCATTCTATAGATAGTTTTCACAATTTAAGAGACTAAAAGTAAACAGAATTATTTTTTACACTTCATACATGAATAATAAAATTATTTATTTATGTCATCGAAAATGATAATCTATTATGGTACAGTTCAAAATAATTTGCTCCTATTTTAAAAAATGTATATACTTTAATTCCTATAAAAGTTAAAAATTTAATAAAATATATTCTAAGATATAAATCAATCAATTGTACTTTTTAAATCGTAATATTCTTTAAAAATGTTATACAAAACAAATTCTATTGTTTTAAACTCTATGTGTGTGTTATTTTTTTTTGGAAATGTTTGTGGAAATACAATTTTAATTGGCAAAGTAATTTAAATAAAGTTTATTAATTTATGTATAATTTAATGATTTAGTTAAGATAATAATAAACGAATAATAATATAATTTATGTATTTTGTCAACTATAGTGTAAAAAATATGCTATTATAGGGCAGTCTAAAATAATTTTCATTAATTTTAAATATTTGTTTTTTTATTGACGTTTTTTAGTGTTACATTTTTTTCAACACCGATAAAAATAAAATAATTTAATTGAAATTTAATAAAATATATTCTAAGTTATAAGCCAGTCAATTTTATCAAATAAATCTAATAATTCTTGAAAAATGTTTAACAGAATATTCTTTTGTATTGATTTTTATGTGTAACTTTTTTTTTGGGGGGGAGAAGGTTTTGGAAATATATATTTAATTGACACAGTAATTTAAATAGTTTATTGAATGATACTTAATTTAATAGTTTAATTTAGATACTTTTTGTTTAATATTCATGTTTCATCTCTTATTATAAAACATAACAATTGACACTTAAATATTTTTAGAACGACGAAAGTCATCATATAAATTATTTTACTTCATATACAACTTATTTTATTGTTTTTTAAACTATTAATTATTCAATACCCACTGTAATTATAAATAGTATAATATTTCGACTTCAATATAATTTGTACTTCGTAGCTGGCTATGCCAACATGATAAACCATATAATATTGTTATCTCTATGCAATGATTTTTATGATAAGTGGCCAACTTATTTTCAATCACCTGAAGGACGTCCTAAGTTAGATAGTTTTAGTTTTAGTTATTATTGAGGTGGACATAATGCCCATGCACTCAGACCTGTTGGTCCATTGTGCGCACCTCATACCGAATTGTCTTGATTCGGTTTACCCACCTAAGTGTTATCACCAAAGTGTTAATACATTACCAACCATAAAGTCACCTCTAGAGATGACCAAAGAGTCCTGTCTTTCTGGCGAAATTAAGTATCTCCCTGGGTTTTAGGTTTTTAATATCCTCTTTTTCAGGAAATGGTTTATTCAAGTAGTTTGATCTTAGTGTGGACAAGGCTTCACATTCGCACATGATGTGAAATGAGTCTTCCTCTTCTACTCCACATTTTCTGCACAATGGTGATTCCGATACCCCCATTGCGTTAAGATGCTTAAGCAGGTGACCATGTCCTGTCAGTAGACCAGTCAGGGTGCTTATTTGATGTCTAGTCATGCTATTAAGATCACCCAGCAATAAACCAGGGGTCTTGATAAACATTTTAGATTGTCTAGGTACTACCAAGTACTTCCAGATTTTCCTGTGTTGTTCTCTGCACCAATTCTTGGGTAACGCTTTGAGCGATTGCTCAGTGAGCCCTACCACTGGTTCTGGTCCAACATAGGTGTTCTCTGCTCCTTTCCTGGCTAGAAAGTCAGCATTCTCATTTCCAGTGACACCGTTGTGTCCTGGTACCCACGCTAGTGTAACTTTGTTGAACCTCGATAGTGATTCTAAAGTTTCCCTGCATTCGAGGACCAGCTTTGAATTCACCTGATCGTTACAGAGTGCTTTCAAAGCCGCTTGACTATCACTTAAGATAGTTATCTTCCTATTTTTGTATACCAGCAGGTTCTGAGCCCCTACCAGTATCGCCATCACCTCTGCTTGGAAAACAGAGGGTGTTGTGCCCAATGACATACTGACATTTATTCGTGGCTTTAAGCCCCAAATTCCAGCACCTACCTTTCCTGATTTTTTGGATCCATCTGTATATATCACAAATCCTCCTTTGTCAGTCAGGTGGTTAATATTCCATTCTATACGTGTAGTGATCTCCACTTTGTAGGGAATGTTATTCTTAAGAACCGGTTTGATATAGTCCAAGGGGTATTCTAAAAAGCCCTTGTCTATCTCTTTTAGTATTTTACCATGTTCTGTTGTATCACTCTCCAAAGTCCACATACCTAAGTTGTGGAATCTTAGTGCTGTAGCTTTGGCATGTGCTTTCACCTCTAGATGCAGAGGAGGCAATCCAATTAGTGCCTCTAATGCGACCGTTGGTGTAGTTCTTAATGCTCCAGTGATGGCAATAGCAGCCATTCTCTGTATGCGACTAAGTTCTTTCCTAGCTGTAATGAGTGCTGTTCTGGTCCACCAGACCAGGGCACCGTACAATATCATAGGTTTAATCACTGACGTGTACAACCAATACATAACTCTTGGTTTAAGACCCCATGTCTTTCCCAAGGCTCTGCTGCAAGTCCACAATGTGTTCATTGCTTTTTTGATTCTTGACTCAACATGTGATTTCCATTTTAGCTTACTATCCAAGATAATACCTAAGTATTTTACTTCTGATTTCAAGCTAATTTCTTGTCCATTCAGAGTAAGAGTGTCTAGGTTGTCTAGTCCTATTCTCTTTCTAGTGAACATAACAACCTCTGCTTTATTTGGATTAACAGACGTCCTAAGTTAGATATGACTTTAGTTTAGAATTCATGTACAATTAGTTATATTAGTGCCCTACGCTCCGATTGCCCGCGATATTCTCTTTAGGAAAAACAGCTGAGATTAGACTGGCTAGTCGAAAAACGGAGAGACACTTTGGAGAATATTTATGGTTGATTTAAACTTTCATTATAATATTGTGCTAGTACTCTGTCCATTCAAATTGTGACACTTCAATAAGTAATAGAACACAATGCGATCTAATCGTGTATTCTTTAAAGTTTCTATATACGTAAAAATTATTAAATCAAATATCAATATTTTTGTGTGTGGGAATATTTGTATCACCAAAAGTGTGTGGCCGTAAATAAGATATATAATAATTATTCTAAATTCCAGTGACTAAAAATGTAATGTAAAACGGTGTATATTTTATATAGCAAGAACTTCCCTTTTTTTGGGAAAAATGGCCGTTTTATAGCCCGCAAAACTGGTTTATCGATCTCTAGTAAGATTCTTGAGATATTTTTTTGCTGTATTGATTGGTCAATGTGATGAAACCTTTTACGTGGTCGTTTTATAAAATGCGTAAGAGAGTGATTAAATTTTGTGTAACAGTATTATTTTTTTATATTAAATTTTATCCAGGAGGAACACTGATTTGAAGATATATTTTTAATAAGTATATGTATAATTGATTGCATGTATTAAAATGTGATGATACACAAGTATGTTTTCTTTTTATATAGGAAGGAGTAACAGATATTTCACTGGTGTCATTTTTTGATGGTACAGTTGTAAGTGTCAATCATTGTTAAATGTACTAACAATAAAATTTATGAATTAAACTCATTAAAAATTAAAATCAATATTATTAAAATTCAATGATTATATTATAGCGTAACATTGGTGCTGAGATGAAAATGGATTTACACTGTTTTTACCCTCCAGAAGTATGTTTTATTGTGTTATGTTTTAGGCTGTGTTATCATTTTGCAATATTTAATAAAAACATTCTATCATACAAATTTTGTTTATTTTAGAAATATTTACAGTGTGGTCCTGTAAAAATGGTGAGAATTTATTTTATACAGACATTGTAACAGTTTTAATAATAGGGGAACACGGCTTAATATTACACACCTCAATATCTTTTACACTAGTTGTTTTTATACATCAGTTATGAAAAACAAAAATGATCGCTTTGATTAGTTTAGCATATATACAAAATTTGATAGTATTATTGTCATTATTTTATTTTTGAGTCCCAAAAAAGTAAAATTGGAAGTGAGTGATATAAAATTTCAAGTTTTTGAAAAACTACTGTAAAATTCAAAAAGAAAAAGTTATTAAATAAATAAATTAAATAGATAGAACAAATTAATAAGATAAATAGGTAAAAGGGAGACAGAGTAAGATTAAGTGGTGATCTCGCGGGTTAAACAATATTGAATAAATTATGTTCAATAACCCTTGAAATTATATAATTTATCTTAGTAGCTTATTACGCAATATATTGTTGTTAAAAAGCATAGATTAAATTGCATTTACCTTATATTCTATGTCACGTACTACAATTTTAAGTAATTCAACGTTGATTCTGTGTATTAAATGTCTGGATTTACTTTCAATACAACGTGCTGTTTAGTTAATATAATTATTTATGAAAACTACATTTAAGTAATACGACTTCATTACATAATATCTGTGACTGATTTTTATATGAAAAGATTCTAACATTCTATATTTTCATTATGTTTGGTACAAAACATCTTTAGCAAAGATCTAGTAGACCAGTTGTTACAAACATCGTTGATTATATTATATCGTGTGGGAGCTGATCTCCAGTGTCTTGCTTTACTCATCCCCTTGCATACCCAGCACGGCAATTCAATGGCCTCCGTGTCAATTGTCATCCGTGTACAGTTCATCGTTGTAAGTCAGTCAGTCAATTGTTTTATTTGTCATCTTTTCTTTTTTGTAACAAGCGCCTTCGCTTGAATGGTAAATTGTTCGGCCTTTGTACGCCGTTATTCTTTTATTTGTTTATTGCACCCTTGTGCTCAAAGTTCTCGTGCCCTTGCAGGCCACCAGTGATTGGGCCCTGACAATCACTAAATATCTTCATTGCCGTAGTCAGTTCTCATCTGCCATTACGTGCCTTGATCTACACTCTGACTCGTGATACTCAGATGTTCGACACCATTACCACAAGATCTCCACACAGTCCACTCATCACTATCAACAACTTCATCTAGTCAGCTAATTTTATATTATTTTTAATGTTATTTATTATTTGTTTTAATTATTTTGTTTTATGCCGCTTTTCTGCATTAGTATTTAAGGGCCTCCGTTACCGCTTAAAATTAAGATACTCTTTGAAGAACTTATAATAAATGTGGTGATTTGTTATTTAATTATTGACTATTCTCGTTACTTATTTTTTGATATTGGATGTACAGTTCGTTTCCATCCCCTAGGTGACTTATTCCCGCTTCAATAATAGCGATTTAAACAAGTTTAAGGTAAAATGGCATTCTAGTGCGGTGCACTTTTTATACAAAAATAATAATAAAAAATTATTAGTGATAAATATTATAATAATATTTAATAGAATTTAATTTAATGAATTCACCAAAAAATTCTAAGCATTATTTAAATTGAAAATTATTAAGTCAAAATTCAATTGAAAAAAAAAATGAAAAAAGTTATAAAAAAATTATAAGTTCCAGAGATTATAAATCTTGATTAGAGTTTTGGAGATTTTGTGTATTATTTTAAAAATACTGAAAAGTTTGGATTTAATAAATAAAATTTAATGTAATTTTATTCCATAAATCTACAACTGATTTTAATGTGTAAAAGATTTTAATGTTTTAAATTTCTGTACGTTTTACGGAAGATAACCAGGAATTAACTAATTAAAAAAATAGTCGTTTAAGACGTAACACCTTATATCTTACTTTTTCTAATTACGAAAGAAAATATCTTTCATTTATAGTAAATAGCTGAAGAACGTCGATTTTAGTATAATACAATATTTACAACAGTAGTTAGCAATTTTTGAATTCTCAAGAAATATAATAATGACATATAAAAGGGATATGCAGTGTAAGCAAATTAATAATAGTGAGAAAAAGAATATAAAAGAGAAACATGAAAAATATAGGGGGACTGGACGTTTTGACGAAGAAACGTTGAGCTACGGATTAGAACGTTCGTATGCAAGTAACTTTTTTTTTTGTACGACTTAAAAAATTTTGTGTTACATTTTATATTATACTTTGAGTCTGTGTATTTTTACTTTATTACATTAAATAACTACTTAAAAACCTGTACATTGGGAGTAAATACTTTATATCCGTCGTACTATTAAAAATTGTGTGTGTGTGGCAAGAGTTAAAGATGGACTACTGGTCCTTTAGTCGATATTAATAATTAGTGTGCGTGCAGGCTAGTTTTTGGGCTTAACCGTCCTTTAGTAGGTATAGTGAAAAGGTAGTAGACGAGGAGCCACCCTTCAGTCTGCTAATTTTGAGCTAGATCGCGCTGACGGGTCTAAACTCTACCCCTTTTAGTAGTTCACTAATTAGAAGGATTGGGGCTGACCAGTTCTCCAACAGGAGAACTCGAGAAGAGCTAAGAACGATGATAAATAATATTAATTAATTTGTGCATTACTTTTGTGTCTGTGTCAGGGTACTACCGACGTACGGCACATTATACAAGTTATACAAATCTAAAAAACCTATTTTTGGAGCTTAAGAGCTTTTATTATAAGCCTTAGATATATGAAGTGTTGTTGATTTAACGTCAATACTTTTACCTCGTCAAAATGAAAATTCTGATTATTACAAAACTGAATAATTTACTGAATTTTATTACAGGATTTTGTAAATAAGAATGAAATATTCAGCCTTTTCCCCAAAAACCTACAAATCTCCTTGTTATAGGTATTAAATAGAGAGTAGCGGTCTCCGACACTCCATTCCCAAATCTCCTACCGTACTCGTATATAACCGGTTCAATCGTGTCCTTTCCACGATGACTATGNTTTTGCAGAAATTTATTTAAATTATGTAAGTATATTAATCAAATATGTGCTCAGTGAGAAAGGGTAGGGATCAGCCTTTTCCCCAAAAACCTACAAATCTCCTTGTTATAGGTATTAAATAGAGAGTGGCGGTCTCCGACACTCCATTCCCAAATCTCCTACCGTACTCGTATATAACCGGTTCAATCGTGTCCTTTCCACGATGACTATGCGTCAATTTTTATACTATTCTGACTAGTTTTTATACACTTTTCACTCACGTTTTGCGACTCCAATAGTCGCAAATCGTCCGATTATAGAACCACTTATATATTTTTTTCATTGTTCACCATCGTTTTTTAATGCACTAATAACCATTCGCTTAAAATTGTATACACTTATTTATTCATCACGTATAATTTTAGTGACCAATGGCTCCACAATTATTCATACAAATTTTCCTAAGCTCACAATTATTAGTTTCTAAACACTACCTTGTCATTAATATCGATTTACATTGTACGTGCATCATATAATCCATCGTGCGTTTTTAATATACATTCACCATCTATGGTTACATCATTATTAGATCTCTCAATTACTTTATTACTCTCGTGCAATCTATCAACCTTCTTCAAATAAATTTTTATTTTTTACTTTAATATAGTGTCATATTTATAAAATCTTATGAATTATATTGTAGTATGTAAGTTACCGCCCCCCCCCCTTTAGGATTTAAGAATTTATTTGCAGAACTTTATTATATTTTCATACTTTTTTTTTATTCATTTGACAAGGTATCCTAATTTTTATTCCTTCCTTCTCTTCTCTCCGTTCCGTCATTATAATTAAGACGTCGATCCTTCTAAAGTCTATTTTCTCTCATCTTATCTAGGATTGACACTATACCTATACTCCCTCTTATATAATCGTTCCTTATCCTATCTTCTCTAGTCACTCCACTCATCCATCTAAACATTCTTATCTTTGCTACACTCATTCTCTCCTCTATTCTCTTATAAACCTACCTACACTCTGAACCATACATCATAACTGGTCACTACAAACTAATGAACTTACCTTTCAGCCTCATTGCAATTTTGTTGTCGCATAACTCATCAAACGCTTTTCACCACTTCAATCAACCGCACTTGATGCTGTATCTTACATCCTCGTCAATACTGCCGTTCTTTGCACAACTGATCCTAAGTACTAAAAATTTTCCACTTTTCCTACCATGATCTCGTTTATTGTCACTGATCTCCTCATTTAACCTACCTCGTGTTTTTCCTTTATCAAACTCATCCTCCTATTAGCACTATATCGTTAGCGAACAACATGCAACACGGCACCTCTCCTTTTATTTATCTAGTAATTTCATCCATTACCATGAAATCTTTAATAATAATTATTATTACAAATAAAATTCTCTAAATTTTTTTTGTATATATTTTTAATGATGAATTAACACCGATATTTTTTTATTTTTTTAGAATCCTGATTTTAATTTGAGAACATCACCAAAGATAATAAATATTAAAATGGTATGTGTTTTTTATTACTAATGTTGAATATTAAAACACATTATTTTTTATATATACAGATGTTGAAACAATGAAAATAATATATTCATACATTAAATGGTGGTTTAAAAATAAAATGATAAAATTAAAATAAGATCTGTTAGTAAATTTTTGCGCTAAGAGCACGATTTAGATATTATCTAGATTATTATTATCTATTATTTAGATTTAAATATTAGATTTCAAGTGGGATCTCTGGCAACACTGACATGACGTGATATTCAGAGTTGTAGTGTTACGAGAAATCGAGTAAAACAGAGATGTAGATAAATAAAAATAATTAAATATAATTGCATAAAAAATATAAATTTCTTTATTTATATTCGTATAACAAATGTGAATGTAAATTCTAAAATATATGTGCAATGCCGACTATATTTTACCTTTAGTATCGGCAATTTGCGACTTGTAACCATTTCGTTATAATCCCTATTCTTTTTTTTTGTATTAATATCAAAAAAAACATTTCAATAAAAATCATAGTTTTTTATGTAACTCTTGGTATTTAAATAGATGTTACAATTTAAATATTCAGAACTATATCTCGCATATTTATATCCTATAGTATTCTACTATAAATTAATATTCAGAAATATTCCGGACCTAGTTTTACCTATGATTTTTTCCGATAATTTGTTGTTAAAATTTCATTTTAACGTAGATTTGTTTGGTTATTTTTTTGATATGTAAATAATTTTTACTTACTAATAAGCAATAATGTCAAAAATAGAGGCGATAAAAATAAAATAAAAAGAATCAGTAATTAATTGTTTTCTTTGAGATTTAGTTCTAAAAAAATATAGAAACCCCCAAAAAGACACGGAGTCAATAAATTTTTGAATTTCATTATTTCCAGTTTTAATTTCAGTTATTTTGATTTTACCTATTGAAAATAAAGAACTAACAAAGACAAGATGTAACCTGACGAGTTATCATACGAGTAGTTGAGTCGCACTAAATGATTTTAACTATTGTTAAACATTTATTTATTTATTTATAACTACTTGAATCGCCTTATATTAAAAGAACGCACGGATTTGTTTCTCTGAAATGAGATGATATCAGGTTTTTAAGCACTGTTGTAAAACAAAAATAAGAAAATGGTGGTATGATAAATGATGGAAGGGAATGTTATAGGAGTATCGCAAAAATAAGAACTANCTTTTTAAGCACATACTTAAAAACATTTTACTAGTTAAAACTACTGTGGTGGTTCATTAAAACCTATACAATACGACACAGAGCAAATATTTGAAATTTATAACGTTTTATTTTATTTTCCTAAAATTTCTTACAAATTATTGAAGTCTTTTCAAAAAAAAAAAAATTCAATTATACATTTTCCAAATACAATAAAATCAAATTTTTTAATCATTATTATTTATATTTTTAAGACGTTTGATGAAATTTTCATTGTATTAAATATCAATAGAGGGATTGGAAATTATTTCTTTTACAGCGGTAAGTTTATATCATGCTGACACAAATTGTCACCTGTTGAAACATTTTACTATATTATCTTGACAAAACAGAAATTTATTGTAATTTCTTAGAGAAAATTATCAAATTATGAAATCATTTTATTTACAGAAAATGATATTAATAATACGTTGCAGACATTTATCCGGGAGTTAGACCCAAGAATTAAATTCAAAGTAGTTAAAATTTATGTGAGTTTAACAATATGTCTAAAATATTTATGTATACTTGATTTTGAATTTAAATCTTTTGTGAATAAAATTAATTTTGAAGTAAATACGGGACTAATGAAGGAACCCAAACGAATGTAAATATGACACGATATAAATGAGATTTTTCAATAAAATGTTTATAAGAATTTACACTTAAAATAACTTAATTTATACATCAATTATTTATTATTAATCAGTGATTATTAAAATTATTAAATATTATTTAATGTTATAATCATTATCATGTACAGCCGGGATAATCAAACAACAGAAATATAATATCCATTTTTTCCAATAAAGTAATGCTTGTCAAATGTTTTGATTTGATATAAAAATGTTTTTTTTGCAATATTTTTAATGTAGCAATACTACTGATTAATAAGGAGTATGAAAAAGAATCCCCCCCACACAAAATTTGCTAGCCTTATTCTTGTTGTAAATTGTAATAGACGAGTATGTATTATGACGGGAAGGATGGATGGATATTCCTTTGGATTTTTTTGTCAGTTTTATTTATCATATCAGTTCCACTGTTGTATAAAGTTTTAAATATTACCAATAAATAGATACATATTCACATATTAATCAACAAGCAGAATTTGAAACATACACTTTTGTAGGGTTAATTTTTGCTAAATGAGGTACAGGAGGTGTTATTCCGAGTTAATTTTGATTGCTGTATATTGAGACGTGTAACGTTAAAAGAAATTTTATCGAAACGTTATTCTGTCCTCATTCAATAATTATATTCTGTAATATTAAATATAGAGTAATAAAGTATACAAAAACATATTTTTAATCTAAAATTTGAATATTAATTTTTAATTGAGCTTTAATCTGCAATATAACATAATCTACAAATAAATATACAAAAATGTTTAATTTAGGAACAATAAAATTGTTTGTGTATACGGTTTGTCGTTTAATATTGCTGTTATAAGTATAGAGCAAAACATTTATTGAAAAATCAAATTATAATAACTTATAATTTACAAAAAATTAATTTTTTCAACTTGACTTTTGAAAATGTTCCGGAAAGTCTGACACTTTTATATATATTTTAAATTAAAACTAATGTAATATACTTTATTAAATATATTAAATTACTAAATTTCGGACTTTATTTTATCTTCACGCTGAAAATGGCAACCAAATGTTATTTTTGTGTGAACATTTTCGATTTTGTATTTTACATTTTTAACTTTATTATGCTATAAATTTTTGAAAAATGTATGGATCAATACAATTTTTTCATGAGAAGTAGTATTTATATACATCCTTCATTCGACATATTGTTTTTTTAAATACGATGAGGGTTCAAATTTAAAAAATGCACGTAGAAAGTAGAACCATTTCAACTTAAATTTTGAAAGTGTTCCGAAAAGTCTGACAATTTTATATATATCATAAATTAAAGCTAATGTAATGTACTTTATTATGCAAAAAAAAATTTCGGACTTTATTTTATCTTCACGGTGAAAATGGCTACGGAATGCTATTTTTGTATGAAAATTTTCGATTTTTTAATTTACATTTTTAACTTTATTATACTATAACTTTTTGAAAAATGTATGGATCATTACAATTTTTTTTATGAGAAGTAGTATAATAATAATAATATAATAATATAATAATAGTATAATAGAAGTTTTCCATAATAAAGTATTATGGAAAAAAAAAATTTCGGACTTTATTATGTTTTAACGGGAAAAATGGTTATCGAATGCTATTTTTGTGTGAAAATTCTCGATTTTATTTTTTACATTTTTAACTTTATAATGCTATAACTTATTGAAAAGTGTATGAACCAACACAATTTTTCTATGTTTTTTAATAATCCTTTTTTCATTCGACATACTTTCTCTTATACAGGATATTAATAAAGAACTAGCAGATCATGTAGCTTTTGGAAAAATCCACCAATTTTTTAAAATTAAACATTATCTAAAAATTTGTATCGAAGCGTTTTTTTTTTATAGTGATTTTAATCACTGTCAGATATCATTATACTTGATCCAACTATGCCACGTCACCACCGTGCCGCGACCCCCCTGTGCTGGGGTTTTTTTTATTGTTTTTAAATAACAAATTTTTGTATACTGTACAATGCATTTCATGGTGGACCTATTTCTGAGTTGCGATATAAATAAAAAGTCTTAGGGTTTGGTCAATCAGTCTGTTTAATTTTATATGTTTCGTTAGAACTTTTTATTGGAAAAGCATATTGAACTACTCAATAAACATATATATATATTAACACATAAGAATTATATAATACCTAACAGATTCAAAAACTACGTCTTGTTTTCCATTTTATTCTAAGTATCTTTAGGTGAACAATAATCATATATTGCACATCCCGGTCGTCATTTTGTCATTTATAAAGTGAATTTTCATGAGCAATATCAAACCAATTGTCTAGAATTTCTTTAAAATTCCTTTGTTGTATAAAAAAATATTTATTTTATGTGACGTGTATATAATAAATAGACATAAAACGATTAATTTTACAAAATTATATTGATTAAATTTTTTTATAATTATTACAGTTCTGATGTATTAAATGATTTTCGTTTAAAATATAATTATAATTAATTATTATTCTATACATTTTTATGCTAGCTATAACATTCATTGAAATTAATATGAAAAACTAAAAATCCTTGTCATTAAATAAGAAATGTAATTTAAGTACAATTTGGTATAAATTTTAAATTTATGTTTTACAGAGGGGTCATCTTGATAATAATACATCTATACTAAATGATACGGTTTATGACGAAACAGCCAGGAAATATCTAGAAAAGTTTGAAAATATGTCGTTATGGAAATATGTCAAAGATGATCTGATTGAATGGAATTATCCTAAACATTCCTATGTAACACTTGAAAATTTCATTAACAATTCAACAACATATAATGTAAATGTTAAATTCACTCTTATAACGGTATTGAATAAAATGATTGAACGAACTATTAAATATGTGCTTTTGCTAATTGCATATGTGTATGAGGCATTGACAATTAATTATCGTATGAAATCATATTGGAATCGATTTATAGAAGTTTTGTACAAATTGAAGGTTGCAGAAATTAATTTGAAGAAATATGATGAAATAGTGAATAAAATACAACAAGTGAAAGAAAAATCTAGTCCTGTAGATAAAATGAGTGAATTAATACGATTGTTAAAAGAATGCACAAAACATTTCTATACGGCCGAAGAATTTGAAAAATTGGATTTTGAAGAGACCGAAACTTCAAAGTCAAAATATTCGAATACACACGTACTACCAGAAGAAGTATTAAATAAAGTATTAAAAGGATTTCCCAAACCTCATCAAAATGTTGATTCATACGAACTTCATCTTATACCAACAGAACTAGATAACATAATAGAAAAAATGAATTTAATTTTTGAATTAATTGACGTAGAATACGAAAATATTTGTAGAATAAGATTCTGATTTTGTTAATTTTTTTTGTACAGAGTAAATTTATTCTGGTGTATATTCATACTATATTTTTCATTAATTAAAGAAAACAATGTATTAGTATTTAGACATAAAATATTATATATGATTAGACTAAATTAAATATTTTCAATATTTTACCCTAATAAAATACATTTTCACAAATGATTGAGCAACACATCAACTAAAAATAAAAACAATAATCGATAGTTTTCTATACTTTATTATTTAAAAAAAAGTACAGTTATAGATTTTATAATTTTCATAAAAATATTATTTATTTATATAAAATTACTAAACTTCTATAATATATAAATAAAAAGTCAGTGGCGTCTCACGAATGATATATGGTGAGGCAATCTTTTTTTTTTTTTGTTTGATAGTACTAGGGAAGAATTTGAAGAATTTGCTACTTCCTATTATTTAAGAAAATTGTATTTATTATGATATAAAAATATATTTAGGGTAGGAGAAAAATTCATTGAGCATCATTAAATGTTTTATTCTGGTTGCGTCCATATCTTCCATATAGAGGGGAATAAATACAACGAAATAATACTTTGAATAATCATACTCTTAAGACACTAATAGGGGAAAAATTTTTTTCTGTGCTTCTAAATTACAATAACTTCAAAAAATTCAAGTAAGTCATTATGAAAGTTTATATATTAAAAAATATATTTAAAAAAAATTAATCCTTCTTTTAATGTAATAATTATGAAAATCCAATAAAAATCTTAAGTACAGGAATAACTTGAATGTGACCACCTACGCATATCAAGTATTAGTTTTGATAGTCGCTGAAAAGGTATTGGGTTTGTGATAATGTACTCTCTTGCTGCCAATAAAAATTTTCACCTTACACTGGACTTTTTGAATGTTTTATGCGTCAAAAGAATTCAATTCGAATATACAGAGTGGCCCAGCACTCATTGACAACTTAAATAACTTTTGATCCAGTTAATATTTTTTGCTGATTTTTTTTTTAAATAAAAGTTATACGTTAGGTCTATAGCTATATCTCAATAGTTAATTGTTTACATTTTACTAAAAATATTGATTATTTTTAAATTTTAAATAAAATGTAAAAAAAAAATCTAAGATCGCTATTTTGTAGAGTAGAATTTAAGAAAAATTTTAGTAAAAAAATATTTTATTAGTATTCAGTAGTAAATATTCTGTAGCGTTTTGAAGTTTGTGAAAATTTGAATTTTCATGTATTATTTAACGGTATTGAACATTGAAATACGCATTGAGAAAAGGACAGAAAAAAACACTATCTTTATTTTTTATAACACTAACTTTTTTTTTAATCTGACCATTTTTCCTCATAAAAGAAGGGTCAAAACTTATAACATACATATAAAATGTCGACAATATTCAACTTAACTTTTGATAAATTTCACAAATACTCTGAGTTTCAAACAAACAGGTGTCCCATAGTGTTTTTCTAATTTGACTATATAAACTAATATTAAAATTAGTAAATCACAGTGGGACACTTTAAATATTAAATGAAAGCGAATGTTACATACTATAAGTTAAAAAAAAAATTGTGATTTTGTGTAAAAATTACAATAATAAATTGTTAAATATAAATTTCATACTAAATTTAATTCCTTTTATAAGTATACATATTATAGTAGTGTAGTATTTTGTAATAAATATAAACACCAAAACACTACAAATTGGTGACCTCTAAAATGAACAACAAATCCGATAGTACGATAGTAAGTGTGCGTGACGACGCGACCGGTAATGATGGCCGAGACCATATCGAATACGGCGAGCCCAATATGAATTCAACGCGAGCGTTTAAAATCCCAACTTTCTGGCGTACCAACCCAGAACTTTGGTTCAAACAAATTGAATCCGTTTTTTATACAACCAGAATTACAGCTGACGCAAGTAAATTTCATCATGTTGTTTCTTCTATGGAAAGTGAAATTCTTGCTCAAGTTAGTGACATAATACTCAATCCACCAGAAACGAAAATGTACGAAGCATTAAAAACCCGGCTCATCGAAAGATTTTCCGAATCTGAACAATGTCGGCTTAAAAAATTACTGACCGAAGTCGAACTCGGTGATCGGAAACCATCCCATTTTCTTTCAGAAATGCGTCAACTAGCTAATGGAAAAGTAACTGATGAAATACTCAAAATACTATGGATACAAAGGTTACCACATCAGGTAAAAACTATCATTTCAGCTAGCAACGACAAGTTGGATAACTTAGCTTCGATGGCAGATAAAATTATCGAAGTATCGGACAGCCGAAATGATTGTTTTTCCATTGCCAACATTAGTGACAAGGTCACAAACCGTCAGTCACATGAACAAGCTGACGATGCAACGACAATAAGAAAATTGGAACACCAGATCGCAGCACTCGCACAAGCAGTAGAGCGACTTAGCAACAGCAACTCTCGTAGCTACAATAGGCGTCACTCAAAATCACCTATGCGCCGAGACAATTCACGACCACGATATGATACATGTTATTATCATTACCGATTCAAAGATAAGGCTACTAAATGCAAACCACCGTGTAAATACCAGCACACGTCGGAAAACTATAAACGATCTACTGTCGAGACGACCGACGGTAGTGAGTTTCAATCTCGTCGTCTATTTATTGTTGATAAAATAACAAAAACTCAATACTTAATTGATACTGGTGCGGACTTTTCGGTTTGGCCAGCAGATCCTAAGCAGAAACGCAATAAAATAAAAGATGGTAACCCTACTTTATTCGCAGCCAACGGGTCAATAATAAAAACATACGGTGACAAATTAATTGCTGTAAATTTAGGTTTAAGACGTGTTTTTAAATGGAAATTTATTGTCGCAGCAGTCAGTAAACCAATTATAGGTGCTGACTTTCTCCACTACTTCGGCTTATTAGTGGACTTAAGAAGTAAACGCCTAATTGATGAAAATACCAATTTAGCCACCGCCGGAAAAGTTAAAAAGACGATATCCTCGGGCATCTTCGCTTTTAAAGACGATTCAGCGTACATTAAGTTACTCAAAAAATTTCCGCAAGTATTAAGAACAAACATGATCCCAATGGATTGTAAACATAACGTTACACATCATATCATCACTAAAGGACCACCACTCTTCGCTAAACCAAGACGCCTTCCTCCGGATCGACTAGAGATCGCAAAAAAAGAATTTGCTTATTTAGTAGAACAGGGCATATGCCGACCTTCAAATAGTCCGTGGGCCAGCCCATTACAACTAGTAAAAAAGAAGAACGGTGAATGGAGACCGTGCGGCGACTACCGTAGGTTAAACGCAGTCACATTACCGGACAGATACCCCATTCCACACATTCAAGACATCACACAGCGATTGCAAAATAAAAGTATTTTTTCAAAAATCGATTTGGTTAAAGCTTTTAACCATATACCAATAGAACCGTCCGATATTCCAAAAACAGCTATTACAACACCTTTTGGGTTATTTGAGTTTGTTCGGATGGGATACGGTTTTAAAAATGCAGCTCAAACATTTCAGCGTTTCATACACGGTGTTTTAAAAGACTTAGATTTTTGTGAAGTGTATTTGGACGATATTTTAATTGCATCGTCTTCAACACAAGAGCATTTGAGTCACCTCGAACGTGTATTACAACGACTCAGTGAGTACGGCATTGTGATAAATACGAATAAATGTATATTTGGAAAAGAAGAGGTACTATTTTTAGGATACATCATATCGGGTAACGGTCTTAGACCAAATCCTGAAAAACTGGAAGCGATAGACAAATATCCACGGCCGAATAATGTACAAGAGCTTCGACGTTTTTTGGCTATGTGCAATTTTTACCGCCGTTGTATCCCAAACGCAGCAAGTACACAAGCTATTCTTCACGATTATCTTAAAAACAGCAAAAAAAACGACAAAACACCAATTGTATGGACCGATCAATCAACGGGAGCGTTCGAGAAAACTAAAGAAGACTTAAAGCGAGCCACAACATTATCGTATCTAGATCCGGCCGCGAATATTCAATTACGATGTGACGCGTCAGATATGGCGATAGGCGCAGTAATAGAACAATTTAAAAACGGCGTTTGGCAACCACTTGCTTTTTTCTCTCGCAAACTTGACCAAACACAAAAAAAATACTGTGCATACGATCGTGAACTTCTTGCGGTATATGAAGCCATTAAGCATTTTCGCTATATGCTGGAAGCCCGTGAATTTGAAATAATTACGGACCATAAGCCGTTAGTATACGCATTCACACAACACTCAGATAAATTACCACCTCGACGTGCACGACAACTTGATTTTATTAGTCAGTTTACAACATCAATACGGCACGTAACAGGTACACAGAATACAGTGGCCGATGCGTTATCGAGAATAGAAACTATAAATGCACCGCCACCGCTAGATTATGACAAGTTAGCTTACGACCAGTTAGCAGACGCAGAACTATTGTCGTTATTGTCAAAACCGGAATTATCGATAAAACTAGAGCTCGTAAATATGCCCACTACGAACACAAATATTTACTGCGATACTTCTAATGGTAGACAACGACCGTATCTTACCAAACAATTTCGCCGCAATGTGTTCAATTGTCTACATAATCTCGCTCACCCAGGTATACGGTCAACAATAAAATTAGTGAGTAGTCGTTTCGTGTGGCCGTCGATGAACAGTGATTGTGCGAAATGGACTCGTGCGTGTTTAGCGTGTCAAAAGTCAAAAATAACGCGACATGTTATAAGTCCGTGTGGTATTTTTAATGTGCCGAGTGATCGTTTTTCACATGTACACATCGATATAATCGGTCCTATGGTCATGTCACGTGGTTGTACTTACTGTTTAACCGCTATAGACAGATTTTCTAGATGGCCAGAAGTTTTTCCAATTCAGGATATTTCGGCTGAAACCATAGCTCGTACGTTATTTGAAGGCTGGATAGCTCGATATGGAGTTATGGAGAGATTGACAACAGATCAAGGACGGCAATTTGAGTCTACTCTGTTCACCGCAGTAACGCAAATTTTAGGGTTTAGAAGAATACGTACATCAGCATATCATCCACCAGCCAATGGTTTAGTTGAACGATTCCACCGATCACTTA